GGAGCAAAAAAGGGCAAAAAACGGTCACAGTTTCCCAAACGTTGATTTTCCACGGTGTGGAAAAAGAGAACGCGTAAGTACGCGTTACACAGACGTCATAGGAGCCGAGATCAAACGAGACGCGATCGCGGCACCCTCAAAGGAACGAAATACGACTTCCTCGTTTCTTCGTCTCGTATTTGACTCGGTTTTACGAAGCGTTCTCCCTTACCAAAGAATAAAAGGTCTATCGGTAAATCTCGGCATTTTCCGTGCGTTGTGCGTAACACGCTTATCGAATCGATAAATCATAATCTATGTATTACGTTCCTTTCGAATTTTTACTCTCGATCGGAATTACGGGAATCCGTTTATTTTCATATAATTTTTTCGTTTGCAAACTGCTTATTACGATAGAAAAGAGAATAAAATATTTTCAAAATTATAAAGACCGAATGTACTGCTATTCCTACTGTGGTATTAACGCGTTGACTAGCACAGTGAAAGTTGTCGTTTGTAGTCAGACAGGCATATAATTGCAGTTCATTAAAATCTGACCGCTCCGTATTATAATTGAAGCATTCAACACGCAAGTTTGTAATGAAGATACTTAAAGTTTAATGATCTGTCAGTAGGCACGAAGAGAAGGAAATGACCAGACGGAAAATTCCGTTGGAAAAGGGAGAAAATGTGCGGTGAAGTTTGGAAAAAGTGCCGGGTGCCTGAGACTTTTCGACCGATCCCTGCTCTTCTGCGCGTGTGTATTATTAGAGGTTATGATTTACGAGGTCATCGTCGAAGGAATGCGAGCGAAAATCAACTTTTATGAGTTGACGAGTTTATGGGGGTACCCGATGGTGGCCGGCGTGTGGCCGTCGTCCGACCAGACGAAATTTGTCGTCGAATCCACGATTTTCACGTTTCTCTCAAATGGACGCAGCCTCCTTCTTCGAGGCCACGACCTTTCGTTTTTTTGATTTATTGAACAGGCCCTAAAATAAATTTTCCTGCGTTCCTCAAATTTCTATCTTCGTTCATTCAGTTTCTAACGAGTGCCTTGGCTGCGTTAAAAATTTCAGAAACTATATAAATTTTGTTTAAATTTTAATATGTTTAAACAATCGTACATGTATGAACAGAATTTTATATTTTCTAGTGAAGATATTTTAACAACTTTTTATATGTTTGCAAGCGATCGATATTGATTGAAAATATTAAAAAAATTTTTTTGAAAATTTGGGAATTGGGAATTTGTTTGTAACTGCAGATTGGGAAGTTGCAAAAGGCGATGGAAGTTAAAAGTAAGGAGAAAACAAGGGACAAGACCCAGCCGTGTCCCGAAGGACGTGCAACAGGGATTTTACGATCGTATTTATGGCCAATTTTATAGCTAAGTCCCGTGAAATGTCCTTTGTCCATTCTCGTCTTTTCGTGTTCGAGGACAACGGTCCGGAAATGAACACGAGCTTTCCAAAAATCTCCGCAGAATGCACTCGTTGCAGCTTTGCGAAAAATTTGCAGACGGGTACATTCTCGGAATAATTGAAATACCTTCAGCCTTAGCATTAAATTGAAACTATAGAATCTAGTAGGTAATATTCCTTCGCTTAACACTTTAAGTATCGTAGCAAATTTGTTCCGTTAGTCGGAATCCAATAAATTTTAAGTGGAAAAATATCAGTGTTGGCACGGAAAGTGTTATAATACTAATTAGAAAACAAACCGATACAACTATCGACCTAATTTGAAAACCTGTTGCGGCATAAACACACTGTAGAGAGTAAGAATCGGTTATAGAGTACACGAATATCGAACACGTTTCTAATTTCTAGTTTCCAGAATGGAACAGGATATTACGATCCTCTCGATGATGCTAATTACATACACAAAAAAGCAAATAATCGCTACCGGTGTTTCGGCATCCTCTAAACTCCCCTTGATCGTTTTCCGAACCATGATGTGGCAGATTTCCAGCATCCGTTTCTAACCAGGTGAATCGATCGACACTGGGTTGATGAATTCCTCGCTTCACGATCACTTGAACGTTTAGAGAATACAGTGATTCGAAATTTGTTAGTTCAATACCTTCTATGGCTTTAGAGAAATTTAAACGTTTGCTTCGACGAATGCAGAATATTGGACCAATGCCAAAACTTATTTTTCCAAAAATTCAAAAATTCTTACGTCCGCAAAGTGTACAATGGAACTCCCTTTTTTTGCGCTTTAAGAAAAAAAGTTCATAAAAGTACTACCTACACTCCAAGCTTGATTTATACAAGGGCAATCTCTTTGACCGATTTCCGATTCTCCGTTCGCCTCAGACTGCAATAAAATGAGAAAACTCGTGCTCTCGACTAGTCATCAAACGCTGCTACCGTAAGGCCATTTTCACGAAAAACCAACGGCTACCGTAAAACTATATTCACGAAAAACCATTGGCTACCGTGTACCAATAAAATTTATGAGACCTTGCGGTGCCCACTCTGCCCATCTACCTTGGCTTTTTGACCAGAACAAGTCCCTACTGACCTACTATTGCCGTCATTGTTCCATCGAGCTGACCTTGACCGGTAAGGGCGACTTCTGCCCCATCGGTCCTTGGAATTTTCCTCGAGAGCCAATGTGGGTTACCGGGACATCGCAATCTCGATACTTAAGGTCATATACCCTTAAGATTGCTTCGGAATATCCTCCAAGACCAGTAGAGTAAACCGAGTTTAAATAAAAAATTAAAGGTTCCATCGATTGTTGCACAGAAAAAAGTTCTTATAGCGTTTAAAATACAATCGTATCGTCATCGCTCAGAGAATTAAACTGCTTTCACCGAGAATAAACCAGCCACGAAGATCACCATTGAAGAGGGTGAAAAAAAAGAACCGCGAGGGCAGGTCCGATTTCGTGCGCAGTTTTCTGGAGGCTCATATTGAAATTTGTCGCGGCGTTCACGGCTATCTTTCTCCGTACAGCTGTTTAACCAGCTGTAACGCATCACACACCTCCCCTCGTGGCGGTTTTACGGACCCGTGGCACCGTTGCCCACCGTCTACACGGCGGAATTTTTTCACAAAAAGGCACGCGTGCATCGATAATACGTTGGGTGTTGCGTGACCGGTGTTTCCGTTCGCTAACCAACCACGATTTTTACTCTAAATGCCGGAGAAAGTTTGCGTTTCGTTGAAACTGTTGATATACCTGGGCGGGCGTTTCGAATCTACTCTTCGTTCCTTTGATTTTTTTCCGAATCTAATACATGGTTGATAAGAATTTGCTACTTGACCCAATATTATTCCCAGGACTTATACCTATGCCAGAACTTCTTAAACTTTAGACCTAGACCTAGTAATGCACTATTTTTCAAAGTCACAAATTGAATGGTTCGACACCCACATTTTGGGTCACTCTCAAAGTCTTTCCTTCATTATCTTCTAACATTTTCCAACTTTCTCGAGGGAAGACCTATCAACCTGTCGCTGAACTTCTCCGAAGTACGACCTTGAAATATTCGGGTCACGAGACCGACCATCGGATGTTTAGCACGTTGAACGAACACCGAGAGAGAATTTATGCGTTTATAACCCGTACGAACACCAGTAGCGATCGCAGCTACGGCGAACATTATTCCAGGCAAGCACTCGTGGCGGGACATCTCCATTGTCGAACCCAGTAGCCAGCCGTAAAAGTGGAAAGTCTGGAAGAAAGGTTCTGGTGGCTGGCACAGTTTTCGAAAATTTAGGGCCACTGGGTCTCTGGGCCAGATCGAGAGGGCTTTGGGAACGAGACGCGAGCTGAATTTTCACCAGATCCACGCTTTTCTTCCGAGAGAGAACGACACGACGCGTTCTCGCCCCCGTCGAGGAGGCTGATTTACGACCAACCATCCGAGAAAATACTCGACCGACTTCTGTTTGGCCACGCGACCCTCTGCACGAGACCAACAGAGAGAAAGATGTCTCTCTTTCACCACCCCCTTTAAGACGTTTGACAAATAACCTTTCCAGAGAGAGCTACTCGCCCACCCGTGGTCCATTCGCGACCAGATCGAGATGTTTTCAAAATGTTTGGAATTGTTTGACAGGGGGCACGTGCCTTGTCCTACTCCGACGTCGTTCGAAAGTCCTTCGACACCTCCGTTAGATCTACAAAGTGAAATTTTTCAAATTTGTTTCTTTAAGCGTTTAAGAAACGTTATAGGTGCCAAAGAAAAGTCGAACTTTCCATTTCTGAGCGACTCTGTCGAGCTGAAATGGTTCTATAATATTTCTGTAACAAGCTGAAAGATACAAGAAACGTTCAAGCACCCTGATTATTTACAAGGCAAGGAGAACAAGGTGTCGAGAGCTGCTGCTCGTAAATTACAAAGTTATTAGTGGCCAATTGGATGTCGATTAATTAACCCCGGCGAACAATGAGCACGCTTTGTACGAGCGTGTTACGTAGCCCTCATCTATGGGAGTATCTATACGGGTGTCAGTTGCTCCGTGAAATTCTCCATCAATCTACAAAATTATTCGACATATGGTTGCTGGAGAATCGCTTTTTTTGTGCATCTCGTACGATACGTGCAACTTCCGGTTTAACCGTTTGAATGCTTAACGAAAATCGTTGGTACGCCAACGTTAAGAACTCCACGGCGTAAATTAAAAAAAAAATGATTATGAATTCCTGGTAAAGGTGGAGTGAAAAGGTTCAAAGTTCGAAGCACGAGTATAAATTATGCATTCGGTGCAGCATGTATAATGGTACGGTGCATCTCAAAGGTTTCTGTTACGATTTCATTTGATACGAAATATCTCGCAGCTTCAAGGAATCACGGGAAAAAAAAGTTCCAGGATATTTACCCGAGGGCAGATCAATTTCAAGAGATTTCAAGAAAAATTTGTACTTGCAGAAAAATAACTCAACGATGTCAAACATATTTATTTGTTTCTAATTATACTTTAGAAAGAACCTTCGATTATTCCTCGCTCTTTTTTTTCCACGTTACAGCCGATGTGTTGGCAAGAATCACGAAATATTAAAATATGGCAATAACGAAGAAAAAGGTAACTAAGATATTTCTCAAATTATATGTGTTTGTTTAAAGATCTTTTCTTCGAAAGAACTGTACCTACCCTTTGGATGAAAAGACATTAGCACGGCTCGAAAGAGAAGCTCTGCAAACCTTGAAAGGTAAAATTTCGTATTTAAAAGACTGAAAAAATATTAATTTCTATTGCACTTCAAGGTCTGTTAACGTTAAGAATTTGCAGAGGGTTTTGTAAAAAAAGAGCTTCGGAATCACGAAAGGAAGGACAAGATGGAACCGAAAAGGTTAGAGTATCAAAAATTGTCTACTTAACATATTTGAATTAATTTAATTTATATACACCAGGAAGCCGAGACAAAAGAATCGAAGGAAATTGTTAAACCTACCGGTAAACTAAATATCTTATTACTTATCGAGCATTTGACAAATCTATTGGAACGTTCTCTTAAACGTAGGTTATAAATGTGCAAAGGCATTGATATTAAAAACGCTGCGATCGATAAAGGAGAAGCAGAGAAGAGAAGCATTTACGAATCAGTACAAAAGATGGAAGTTTTACACTTCTTTAATTAAACTAAAGGTATCATCGATTATAATGATTAAATAATAAATTGAAAGGAACAACTAAACATTTTAGACCAATCTACTGAATCAAAAATGGGATTACTGTTGCCATTTGAAAGAGAGGACAATTATTCGAGAAAGCAAACGTCTAGAAACTATTGAAAGGTATATCAAATGAAATATCAAGGAGATTGTTAATAAAATACGCAGTTCATGAAGATTATTATTTACAGATTGAGATGGGAATACAACGTTGACGCAACTGTACCTCCGGATTCTATAATTTTTGACAAGGTTAGTTTCTATTCGTATGTTGACAATTTTTAAAAACTAATTTACGCAATAAAAAACAGATTTTAAGATATAAACGAGAAAGAAGGAAGCAAATAAAACTTCGAAAAGAAAGAACGATTATGATCATCGAGAGGATAACAAAGGAAATGATCAATGGAATTCGAATGCACAAAAGACCTGCAGACATTCGTGTTATAAAAAAGATGAGAGAGACAAAATTTGAAATATATGATGAAGAGAGTTCTACAGAAATTCATTTCGAAGAAGCTCAAAACGAGGAAGAAGATTTAGACAATCGATTAAAAAATATCACTATAACCGTAAAGTATATTCGAATGAAATGTCAATTATTAATAAAAAAAGCGAAGTTAATATTGCATTAAAAACTCATAGGAAATCACAGACAAATCGGTAAAGAAAAATGTGACAGAAGGACAGAAAAGCACTAAATCTAAACACGAATCGGTTAAGGACTCGATTAAAAGTGAACACATTGATAAAAATCTTAAAATTGCAGCAAGAATAAGAACTGAGTCGGTGCAGAAACTTTATCCAGAAGATACTTGTTTCTTCGCAACTCCGAGCACAGTCATTTTCGATGTAAATTTGCTAATTTTTAAAAAATTTCTGAGTGTCGTAAAATGGTAATATAGCACGCTTTTCAATCAGGATTTCAAAGTGAACAAGGTTTATAATAAGAAAGTAACGATCACGAACAAAACGACAAAGTGGGCGTACCTCAGATTTCATGAAGTGTACACTGACGTTTGGGAACCTGTTGTGGAGGTTTTACGATCATAATTGTTTGTTTGATTTTAAAATAAATAAAGTAAATGGAGTAAACGATCGTTCGAAAAACAGATTGACATCATCGATGCCGCGAAAGTCAAACCTGGTCTACACGTAACAGTAAATGTGAAATTTTCACCTGTCAACGATGAGAAAGTGACAGCAGAGATTTCTTTTCTCACTCTGAATCCCGACCATCCGAACACTTTCCACAAATTTCGTGTTCCCGTTCGGTGCACACCGGAGAGTCCCGTGCCTATCGTGGATCCTAGGGAATTGAAGTAAAAGAAAATTAAGAGCGTCGCTTAAGAAAATTCGTTGGCAATGTTCGGCCGATTAAAATAAATAATTACCTGAGAACAGATTTCCCTCGGCTCCGATTTGGAAATATAACGATTCAAAGTTTAAGGAAAAGGCTCTTACTATCTCTAACGAAGGTAGAAAACCGTTTTCGATCTTGATCGGAGAAAGAAAAGATTCCCACGATTGTTTTCTCTGGTTCTTCGACGAAGGGGAAGTGCAAACTGCAAGATCGTCCATTTTAGCCTCAGGTTTATATCAATATCCCAAATAGTTTAACTAATACTATCAGAAAATGTACCTTTCAGAAAAAGATTCAAATGTAGAAAACAATTCGGAAGAAGCTGAGAACGATTTGGACCGTAAGGAGTCTCAAAAAATGTATCAAATCGAGGTTCCTCCAAAATTTAAATGCACTTTAAGAATAACTTTTCAACCAAGATACATTGGTCTACATCACGAAGTCCTGGAAATCTATTTCTCCAGCAACGAATACATATTTAACAAGCAGGTATGATTAATCGTGAAAAATAATCGAATGAAAAGGAGTTACAATTTTGTGAATAGGACGTACCAATTTGGGCAGAAGTCACTGGATACGAAATTCATTTAGACCCACCCTGTGTTGATCTGGGCATCGTGATGATCGATTCTGACGTCCGTCAACAAAGTTTTAATATCGTTAACACTGGTATCGTTTAGTGTATGATTAAGATATGATATTGTAATTAAGAGTAACTATTGCAGCACGGTATGTCGTTGAGGTATCGATGAAGACTCCAAAACGTTTGGGATCTCAAGTAACAGTATATCCAAAATCGACGATCATACAACCTGAAACATTTTCTACGATTAGCGTGAGACTAATACCCGAATCGAGCATCGTCAGCTTGTCAAAACGGTATTGATATAAAAAATAGTTAAATAAGTGTCCACTGTTACAACTGTTTCCAGATTTTATGATCGAACGTCGAAGATGCTGGAGTTCCCGATTCGTGTTCAAATTCTAACTCGAGAATCGGAACAACCACCGCCATTGGTTTTGAAAGTTCTCGCCACTTTAACAACCTGTCAAAGTCTAATTTTAGGTCAGTGTTCTTTTCATCCCCTATCTCGACTATTAGAACTTCGTAATTATTTGTAGAACCATCATACGTTGACTTGGGCCTTGTGTACACGCACGAATCAGTTAACACAGAATTATCGCTAACGAACAAGAGTTTATTGATTCAAGAATACGCGTTTTTTAATTTACCACCGTTTATGGAAATTCATCCGAATCATGGCTTTGGAGCTATTTTACCCGGGGAAACTATCAACCTTCATTTAATTTATTCCGCTTGCTTGATGGATATTCCTGGCAACGAAATTGGAGCAAATGGCTCGGCTGGCGAAAGAATGTTATTAAATTTTGGCATTCTCTTTACTCTTCAGTACCCACTGACAATAATTTCATACGTCTATTTCAATAAGCAACTATTAGATTTCAGGTGCAAGTAGTATCACTGGCAGAACTCGCAGGGAGAAAAGGAAGAACGCAATTAAATAAATTGAAAAATTTACAAAATGTACAATCTATGATTACAAGAAAATGCAACGGTCTCCCCCCGCCAATGTCTCTAAAATTAATAAACGAGACAGCTAATGATAATCACAGTAATCGAAAAAAAGAAATGAACAATGACTTTACCGACAAAGAAAATTCAGAGGAGGGTAAAATTGAATTATTTTGGAAAAAAGATTATCAATATACTGCACGTATAATTTTTGTATGTTAGATTACGAGGAGTCCGAAGACGCAACGACGGAGAAATCGTATCGTCTTCGTAAAAGAAAGAAGAAAAATGTGATGGATGTTCGCGTTTACATCGTGGACACGTTTTGCGAGTTAAGCGAACAAATCATCGAGTTTCCTGCCACACCTTGTGGCTCGTTTTCAATGGTAAATCAATTACTAATTTACTGAAGATTGATTCAACTCTTGTGTAACATAAAATTCTTCTTCTCCCCGAGCACTTTAGTCGTTTACACAAAAATGATGTTACGTTTGATTTCATTTAAAAAAACTTTGTAAACTTAGGTCTCTATCCATCTCAGAGGATTCAATGTATCTTCTTATCCTCACTGCACTTGTGGAATAGTGAAGAATCAAGTTAAAGAATTCACAGCTCGATTCAAGTTTAAATCCTCCTCCGACCAAATGGAGGTTGTACCTCCACATGGTGTTTTGTACAGTAATCAGTATATTCAGGTAAATTTTATCTTCAAACCAAGATTGCCTCAAAACGTGGTCTTCGATAGAGATAACAAATTGAAGATAGATATCGAAGAAGAAAAAAAGTTCACTAAAGACGATAAGTCCGTAAAAAAAGGTAATCGAAAAATATACAGTATAATCTCGATGAGAGAAAATGTAGCTACCTAATTTCTGATTTCTAAAAAGGAAAAGCTTCGAAGAAAGCTTCGAAGAAAAAGGAAAGCTCGGAAGAACAGAAAGAGCAAATAAATGAATTACCCAGTGAAATAGATCCATTAGAAACTCTTGAACCATCTATTTCCACGATTTTCGTAACGTGCGTTATCGACCTGGAGACGAGAGATAATAAAAATCACAACGAACTGCTGTTCGCAAAATTAATTTGTCCGGTTACAAAGCCAGACATTATAATTTTGAAGGGGCATGAAATTGATTTTGGATCGACAGGAATTGGTCTCTCTTCTAGACAATTGCTGTTCGTTAAAAATATTTCCACCAGGTATAAAATTCTATTTATCAAAGAAAATTGCTTCTAATCTCAATTTGTTAATAGAAATGTTTGCCTTCGTTAGGAGCGTAAAGGTGGACGTTAGTTTACTGGATCCATACGGACCATTTTTCATCCCGCCAGGTAAAATTGTCGAAACTGGTTCTATTTTGAAGCTTCCTATTACATATCGGCCCACTCAAGAGGGACAGGAAGAAGTAGGCCATATATAAATTTAACTTACGCTACCTTTTATTTCGTAAAACACACCGAGTAGGTAGAAAGGTCTTTATTTGAGAAATTAGCATTTCTCGAGAAACTAGAAAGCATTGTACGTAGGGATAACAATGAAATTTGTTCGAGGTGCTTTGCTTTTGAAGACAAAGGTCCACCCATGCCCTTTGATGATATCTTTGCCCTTGATATTGTATCTTCCTGGACCAGGTTGAGTATCCGTCAAAATGACTGGCCTAACGAACTCTACGTTCATGTCGAAAGGATAATTCTTCGCGTTTTTCGGTTTTCTCGGGGACTTAGGATCATAGTGGCCAGGTCCCGGGTGTTTCGGATCCTTGTAACACAAGGCTATATCTTGCAACACCATTCTTATCCCTGGTACTTTGGGAAACCTAATTTTTATTAATCTTTTAATGCCAACAAAATTTCTTTGCAAATTTAAATTACTATCCATACGATATTTAATTGTACACTATTGAATCCTCAAACGGTTTTCGTATATCGAATCGTAATATACCTCGTGAATGGAATTTACCTGGCGGCTATAAATTTAATGAGAATACCTTGGGCAGGTGATCCAACGTCCTTTAAAATAGTTCGACTTGTGCAACAGTTTGTCGAGTTCGCTTGGCAACAATTTAGGCCAGTCGCCGTTATCTTCCAATTTCGCGGTAGTAAGGTAGCTTTTGATGGTGCTACTGTCTCTCGGCCCTGAAAGAACGTCAAATAACAGAGAAAAATGACCAACAATCACTCTTTCGAGTATTGGTATTTCTTTTTTGTTCAAGAGACCTGTGAACAAATCGTAGGGACCTCTTTTCCCGGTGGTCTTCTTCAAAAAAGCTTCGATGGTATCTGGGTGCTTCACGTTATATCTATTGAAACGTGTTTTAAAATATTTACAACGAACGTTTCGACACTTCCTCAAAGAAATTCTAAGTTTTCAACAAATCTAAAGTATAAAAATGCCTACAAATTGCATGGCAAGGACCAGCTTTTGGAAACCCTACGAAATCTAGGCTGCAGACCATCGTATTCGAAAGTGGGTATACGAGACAAACCCTCCTGTCTTCTTTTATCTATGTAATAATAAGGATTCTTCCTCGTGTATCCTAAAACGAACGAATAAAATCGTCAGTAAAATACTTTGCAAAATCAACGCTGAAAGATATCACCAGGTCCAGGGATTTCAGGGATGGAATCAAGTTTAAATAAAGGGACTGTTCCAAATCCAACATCTGTTCGAACGGTTTTACAAGATTTTTTCAAAATATCATCGGGCCATTGAATAATCTCGTGCGTTCCTGGACCACGTCCTGTTCTCATCAGGTTTCTTTGCGTTACATATTTCTCCAAAAGTCTTCCCCCCATGGTTGCAGAAAATTCTTCTACTTCCAGCTCCCTCTTCCAGCTGGTTCGTGAAAAATTTTCCTCCAAAATTGGTACACGAAGAAAAGTAGGAAAAATTGTTAGGTAAAAATTTATGTTTACTCTCTGGCGACTGATTTGCATTTAAGGCGCGGAATATCGTAAGTTCCCACAGGAGGTGCATCCGATTTGCTCGCATAAAATTTTGGATGCAATCCAATCTTAGCGTCGCGTTCCGAACTGCTGTTGAACGGTGGCCGAGGTTTCTTCTCTCGAGGAATTAAACACTGACATCGCCATTTACACCCGCATTTACATAGCTTAAAAGTCTGCGTCTTGTATTCGCACGGCATTCTGACTTTTTGCCCCTTGCTTGAGTACAAAATTGAGAAGGTTGAGATGTTAACGAGTACAAGAAAAGGTTAGTAACCAGGTTCGATCGTAACCAGGCACGTTGGAGTCGATTTTTCGCATTTATTTTGTACACAAATTTTCGAAGACATTAATTTGTTAAATGGATGAGTATCCACGATATATTTATTTATGAATTCAGGAATATTTCGAAGTGGGTAGTCCTGAAACGAGAACAAGATGGCGTCTAAGAGTCGCAGGATGCGGAGTGGTGCCATCTTATGTCGTGAAACCTAAATTTGGAGTCGCCCGTTACGAAGTTATCGGTGATGAACCGGTAGAACTGAAGATGGCTGTACGTTCACTAGTCGTTATAAATATTCTCCAAATTGTTATAATTTAATATCGTATAAAGATTAAGTAATCGACAAACCTACAAAATCTAAAGTCGAGATATCAACAGATAGTAGGAACACTGTAAGTGCAAAATAATTCTATCAACAGACGATAAAACACTTCCCTGCTATTATCTATAAAGTCTATCTTATCATCTCTTTGATCTTTATTGAAGAAACATGTACTAAAAAGACGAAACATTTATTGGACAACATATTTCATTACAATATTAAATTTCACGAGTACATAATTCAAATTATTGCCTTGAGCGATAGAATCTTTCAATATTAACGATTGATTAAATTTCTAAAGTTCTCCTGGATTCAGATTGCGCAGTGTTATCAAAACGCGCAGAATGATAAGAGCAACTAATCACTTAAACAGGTCGAATTAGGAGACAGGGTACGGTGGACGCGTTTGAATAATTTAATCCTGAAAATGCAATCACTAACAGGATAATAGTAATTAGATCCTGTAAACGTATGAAAGGATCGTTACAAGATTAATTAGAGAATCGACACGCGAGAGCACACTAATTATCCACAGTAATGCGACGAATTAATTGAGAAGCATTATCTTTCATTTCATCTTATCGATCGACGATTATGCCACGCGTTGAACTATAACAGTCTGCAAATTTTAGTGACGCTGTTCAGCTACGGTTCTCCCCAATATTTACCTTTCGTTGCGATCGTTCGTTTGCTCGATTAAGCGCTCTTGAAAAACTAATTTAAACAGAAGTAATTACTTTCTCTTTAAACTACTTTTTCCCAACATTTCACAGATTTAATCTGTTAACCATAAAATTATATGAAACAAAAAGAATAGAAAAGGATAGATGTACACAGACGAGAGATAAAACTTTATTTCCGGAAAATTACAGTATAAAGTCGAGTCACGACGTAAAAAACACCGGTGTTTGCTCTTTCCAGATTTAAGCAGGTTTTTCGCTTATCAAGTTTATAGCTTACACGCGATCCCACGACGTTGTTGAGTAAGATAAAATCGTGTTTCGTATTGCCTGAAACTCACGTACCGAATGAAGATCCTTAGGCCACAAGGGACGCAGATAGAGCTATCGGCATCCGTCGTTTCTTCACACCCCTTTACGATACTTGCCCTAGGCGATTTACAATATTTTACCAGCGAAACCACGAATCTTTTGATGGAGCATCCTCGTCTCTTTTGTTGAACTTTGTATATCCGATGTGCTTTGCTTAAAGCACGACCGGTTTGCTCAAGATAAAATTGAAACCTACGATAACGAGGGATCATTGCTAGTCTTCGTATAAGTCCCTGTAAAGATGACGTTAACGAGAAGCTGCCATACTTCGCGTCGTGTCAAATAAATAAATCTCATTTATTTTTCGTCGATAACGATGCTAGAGATATCGATGTTATTATAGTAATTAAAATGTAGGAACCCATTTCAGAGAGATTATAAGATAAAAGGACATCCATGAAAATCCGACCACGCTTCCTAGTACGATCGATTAATAAGCTGCTTCGATATTGTGTCGTCCTGTTTCATTTTATTTACGTTCCGCTATAATCCATCCTGTTAATTAAAATAAGGTCGCACTTAATCGCTCTTGAAAGTTCATCTCTGAAATTCGAACTAGTAAATTTCCTGTCAATTGAGCTCGTTATTTTCACTGTCTTGAAACTTTGAGCATCCTCCGTTCGATCTGCTTAAACACCACCAACTTCCGGCCCTTTAACCCTCAAAGTAACCACACGAGAATTTCATCTGAACAATTTCCGCTCGTGGTTTCACCATGGACAAAGCTGCAATGCGATCGAGCGAAAGATCTTACAAAAAAACTTGATCTAGGCAAAATAATAACTAGCTTATCGACATCGGGGGATGATCACGGTAGGTTAGCAACATTGGAAATTGCGAACTGAAAGTTCAATCAACGCGGCAGAAAATTGAACGGGTTCGATGAATAAATTTTACGGTGAAATATTTAACAAAGGTTTCGAATAAATTTGGTACATGACGAGGTTAAACTCGAATGATAAATCATTTCATTTATATGCACGGAATATGGTAGTGATTTTATCACGACTGATTGTAGAGGATAGAGGTGCGATTGATATTTGAATACCTCGGATAGTAAATACGTCGTGACAATTTCTCGCCGATAACCAGTTCGTTAAATTAAGTATTGAAAGATGCAGTTACACAGAAATTGCATTACAGTTAAATTCCTTGGGCATTCGTTCCCTACTTCCCTTCATTTCACTTTAAAATGAAATTCAGCAGCCTCCTTACTCGCATAATGAAAGCTGCTTCATTTGACAGATGTCCTGAATGGATAGACAAAACCAGTCAAAGAACTTTCAGTCTTTGGTAGCACGCTGATGGTAATAACTTAATTAACTCGATGATAAATTACTACATCTTTGTCAATTCAGTGATACGAGAGATCTAAGGCAAACGAATCGAGGAATTTCAACCATCGGTGCGCGAGAATGCACACCATTTGCACATCCGTGCATCGCGACTTCCAAGACAGTTCTTGGTCTTTGTTCTAAAACACGTCTCTTGATATGCATAGAATACGTTGTCGTACAAACTTTCTTAACGTACATCACGAACATAGAAATTCCAAGATGACACATTTCTCTAGCTTATTCGTTTCAAACAAACTGAATTAAGAACCAAGAAACTACCTTGCTAGTCTTCTTGTTTTTTCCTCCTTTTTCTTATAAAAATTTTACCCTCAATTTGAATTCTGTCAGACTCTTACTACTACTGAAATACTAATTGTACCATTGACAAGGTAATAAGATGAAATAGTAAGCTTCTGTTTGCTTATCACGGGTTTTCAGATACAAAACACCGGAACTTGCCCCTTGATATTTCAACTATGCATAATTGACGTGCTCGAAGGTAATATTCCGCGGGAGCAACAAGAATCTCCAGATGAACCGAAGAAAGGTAAAAAGAAAAAAACAGTGGACGGTGGTGGCGATAGAAGTTCATCGAGAAAAGCGGAATTTAGAGATAATCTACAACCGCAGGAAGCATCGGCGATATTTGGCGAGAATTTGAAGCAATCTCCCAATCGTCGCTACTTTTCTTTCGGGAATTTGGATGAAAATATGCAGTTAATTGTTCACGAAAACAAAAAGGTATTCTATATTTAACCAGATTCGAAATATCTGCAAATCCAATAGAGATTTATATATGAAATTAAATTCCATCGTTTGATCAACGTCTTTTATCGCATATTTCATACTCTACAAAAGAACGGTTTATAATAGCTGACATTAGGACAAAACATAGTAGAATCGAGCAATAGAAAACAAGTAAAAATATTACATCGATTTTAGAAAAAGAAAAATGGTTGAAAAGATAATTTCTGAAGAAACTCTCCACTTACAAATTTACATTACCACTTTTTCTTTTTCCCTTTCCGAGTTAAAATGTATCGAATTCACCAATATCCGAATGTTTACACGATTGGAAAGCTGAAGCAAACTTTGAAAACTTTTTCCTTCCGTTCACAGGCGGAATTTATCGTTCGATTTCAATTGCGAAACGAAGAGAAAATAAGTGAAGATAAAAACACCGAAGTGATATCAAAGAAAGGGAAAAAATCGCAAAAATCAATGAAACAGGAGGAGAACGAGAAATTAAATTACTATTACGTAGCTCTGTTGAAATTAATGCTTGGAAGCTCAATCAGCGTACACGACTTCGTAATGATATGCTCGACAAAATAGACACTTATCCGTTTTTGCTCGAATCCGATAAATTTCATTAAACTTCGGGGATAATTCTGCTTGTTACTTGTGCACGCTCATTGATCCAATCAATTTCTACGAATATTATTTCGATAACATTTCGTTTTATTCCGTTCAACATTCTGCGATCATACGAAATGCAAGGAAAGTTCGTCGTGACGATCGAATTTTAAGTATTCATCCGCAATTTGTAGGAAACGTGATTCGAGAGTTGATCAGAAATTCAGAACAACTGGAACATCAATCGAATTATTTATGCGGTTTCCTTGAACTTTTTTTGGTGTTACAGAATTTATTTATACAAGCAATTCGCGGTAAAACGGAAAAATTTCTAATACAACTCACTTTCGCCACCGATATTACCAGGCTTTAGATTTGTAAATTTTAGATTCCTGTTTATACAATTATTACAACAATATTTATAATAGTCATACTTACTAAGAGTTCGCTAAAGAAACGGCACAACGTCGATCGATGTACCTTTAAGAGTTTATTCGTATATTTACATGCGAATGTCCACGTAAAAATCGAATACGCTTCCGCGTAATCGTCACCGATGTAAAAACGAATTACAAAGAAAGCTGATAAAAGGTCTAAAAAAATCGAGCTTACGGAATAACAGTTTGTTCGTTGAGAAAAAAATCGGCTCGCAATAAAGCGTTGAGTCGCAAACGCTCGCGACGTGCACTGTTTTAACAGAATAAAAATTCACGCACAGACACACACGGTTCTCACAATAACACGCAAACTATACGTAGATTCAACGAATTCGTAATTAATGCGAACGGAAGCTTGTCGATCGATCGGCGAGCTTCATTAAGCATCGCCATCGTTCTCGCATCGCTTAATTAGTCAACTAATTGAGCCGTCGTCGCGTGTCAGAAGAATCTTACAAAAAAATGCTCTCGGACGAAACGTTTTCTTGCATCGTTTCTTACTGTTCCTGTTACGGATGTAACACAGATATAATCAGAGATAAATACGAAAGATTTTCTCTTCTGTCGTATTCTAAGTATTCGCTATTCTAACGATACACCGACAAAAGCACGATTTCGAAAATTCTTCGTCTAGAATGAATATATAGAGTAAAATGCCCGAGGAATTTCCACAGAATTTCCTCGAGTACTGGAATTTGTCTTACGTCACTGCAAACGTGTCGTGTTATAAGCGATAAAAGCTACAATTCTCGTTTCTTTTTTTTTTATCTGAGGGGTACACAGATTGACGTAGAAATATTATATGTTTCTCTGTCAGTCGATTAGCGATTTTTTTCCCCATTTCATGAAAACCATTCGAGATTTTCATTGATAAGCTATTAACACTTAACTCTGATTCAGGATTATCGACCTATTCTGCGAATTACTGATCATTACAGCACGGCATCAAGATAAACGGTACGAGGTATAATCCTATTATCCCGTACGTTAATTTTTGCACAGTTACGCCACTGTCGAAAATCTCGAGTGTCGATTATATTTAAAATACTCCAAAACAGGAGAATACTGAATAAATTCATATGTACAAATACATGTTTCACAATCAATTACATCGAATACTAGAAAAGATACTATTTCTTCTTTTTGTAGGAACAGCTGGAAAGATTTACCTCGAAAGATTCAAAGAGTGTACATCATTTCTTATTTCCTACGCTTACAAAGTAAGAAACGCCTAAGTGGACCTATTTACTACTTAAAATATGGAAAAGATTTCGCTAATTGTTTCATTCGAGCCCATCGTCGAATCTTTCTCATCGAATTTATCGAATATGCATCGATTCAAGATTTTTGCTGGATCCTTTCCTACAATCGTAGAGAGTACAAATTTTCACGCACACGTAAATCGATTAAATTTCTGTCGCGTGGACGAATAATCACATAAATCTTTCATAAATGATTATTTACTCGATGAACAGGTTTCTGTTTACGTCCAGAAAAATGGTTAACACCTTGTCACAAAAACGATCATAAAGTTCCTTTAAACGAATCGGTATCCCGTTCGATGTTCGAGTCAACAAATGTTCTTAATTTATGAGTGTTTGTATTGCAGTTGGGAGCAACAGTACAGAACAGTGATGGACAACTATGCCCGCGAGGTACACGGACATGCAAGCAGTGCGTATTCACGAGCACTGGAGAGTAATCTGAATTTCTTAACTTGAAAGTACTATATTTCTCAATTTCAATGCGTGGATGTCCGTCAACTCAACATTGCAGACATCGTGCACGCTGATATCCGTGAGCTCTTTGTCGGGCACGTATTCCGCCCATCACTGTTTTTGGAGTTGCTTTCTAAGCGAGAACAGACAGAGAAAAAGAAGAAAAATCTCTTCCCGTTCCACTACCTCGACTATGAAACATATTTTTGAGACGCGTGGAATTCACAAAAGAGAGCGTTTTTGCACAATTTACACGAACGTTCTTGAAGATAATCGGCTTGAGTGTCGTGGAGAAATGTGGTCTTCCTGGGTTGGAATCTCGGGCAAAAAAAAACAGTTTTCTCAGGATGGCGCTGGCCTCTTGTTCTCCTTCGGCACTGCTGTTACCGCGGTTTTTTTACCTGTGAAAAGCTGCCTCGACGTGGGCCGGCCACGACGAAAAAATCAAGTCCATCTGAAAAAGCAAACGCGGTGGAAAGGGTCGAAATAGAAAATGGAAATGGTTCGCGAGATACATATTTCAACGTTCCACCGACGCGACGAAAGGGTGCGAAGCCAATACTCGAGATCGATATCGAGCTATCAATTCTTTAAACGTTACGAACACTTGGTACGGGTTAATTTTTCTCCGTTATCTGATTACATATATCGATATAACGCGAATTAACCAAGCTGCCACTTATAAAGATAAGTAATTTCGAAACTCGTAACAATGTTCTGAAAATTGAATCCTTACGACAGAATTTCATTACGCGAATTCGTGAAGCATGCTACTAAACGGCAAGTGCGCGTAAATTTTACGAACATCGAGTTTTTTCTACCGACTTCTCGGAAGCTTCGAAAGAAGCCTGACGGTCGGAAGAGAACGAAACTGATGTTAATTAAATTAAAAGAAAACAGAAGAAAGTAAGATTCGTACTAACATATTGCGAATAAAAATATTGAGTTAATCGAACAAATATATAGAAGAAAAATACAGACCATCCAAGGCAGAGGAACGACGACAGAAATAAATGTTTTTTGATCAGCAAATTACACGACTAAACGAACGCATACAATGCATTTTTTTGCGGTGTATATGATTTACTGGCGTGCACAGTACCTACCGCCTCAGGGTATCATACATATTTATCCATATCAATCTGAAATTCAAAATAGTGATTCTTCGGCTACGCCTGCTGCGTTCCTCGTTATGTTAAGCAGCAAAAGACAGAAGCAAAGTGAAATAAAAAATAAAGAAAAATAAGGCGAGAATAGGCGTGCTATCACGGGTCGCGTACCTGACACTGGTCGTCCTGGTTTGGCTGAGGCTAGGATGCCTCTTCACCGGGGCCCTGTAACCTCTTCTGGGACAACAGATCCACCAACCACCGCAAGCCGCGGATAAGAAACTCTCCCTGAAGTGCTTCGACATAAATCCATAGATGATCGGATTTATGCAACTGAAATTCAACGTTTTTCCGACTGACAGATCTCGCATGAATTCGACTCGACGCATTACGCTATCGATATTGGATGAACTGTTTCCGACGATATATTGTAACAGGAATTCGATATCTGACGGTACGATACATCGACATTATTGTGATTTAATACGATAAAAATTATTGTAATTTAAGACGATACAAAAGTCCTTAATATCAGAATACAACAGTTGGTTAACGTAGTATAAATCCTGCAGAAATGAAGAGTTATACGATCGTTTCAAGACTTTAACTTTACCTGTTAAAATAAGCCATCAACTGAAACGCCGTGTTAAGGTGTTTATGCATTCCCGTTTTCACTCGCGGCAGATAACCATAAGCGGTGAGGGTGTTGTCTACAAGAATTGGACCCCAACAGATGGCGAATAACACCACCACAGCCACCAGCATTTTCACCACCTACCGTGCAACACGACGCAAATAAATTTCAGATCCTTCTTTTACGATTAAAGGGAGCTGACTCGCTTTCACTTATATTTTCTTCACCTTTTATTGCGATAATCGGCTATACTGCGGGAAGTTAGGAAAGGTCAAGGAAAAATAAGTTTTTCGTTAATCCCATTCCTTCCGTAATCGAAGTTTTCAAAAGTTTAGCCTGACTTCGTTCCCTTTTAGTCGCCTCTTACAACAAGCAGAGAATGCCGTGAGCGAATTCTATCCCCCAAGCCACAGAGGCTAACTTTGCCAATCGATACTGGATGCCTACAAATTGTTTTCGACTCGACAATGACGTGCAAACTCATTAATTTTAAAGTTCCATCGATTCGATTACATTTCCCGAACACCTGACATCGTATCAACTTAATTATAGTTTACGATTGTGCTCGAATCGTAAAAATCAATTTATTGTATCCGGTGGTTTGTGCGCGTATCGACGAAAACATTAAAGAACCACAAAAAATCGGAAGGATTAAGTGAATGACGGCCCCGTTTACGATACTATTAACATAAACGAGATCGCGTTTTATTTATTCGTAAGTGCTGCTTGAAATGCACAATAATTAGCATTCGAATGAGGGAGGTGGTTTACTTAGGCAAATTGTCTCTCGTGAAACGAATCTTGTTGCGACAGAAACGATATCGAACTTTTATCAATTCTAATTATATGCTATCGAGACTTTTCCGAGCTAACGAGTTTCTATCTCGTGACTCGACTTCCAACGAATTCACGATGTTAACACGGTGTTAATTGTTGACGAGGGAACTCGTGTTTCGAATAACTCGACTACTAATTGTAATTATCGCCACAGAACGTGTCAGATTTCAAAACAGTGTTAAAATAGTTTGGTACAATTAACACCAATATACACTTTAATAAATGAAATAATGGCAAGGGTGGCTACCTAAATGCTAAAGCTGATTTGCGGCATTTTAATTATTAGGTTAGCAAATAAATTCGCGACTTTTTCACTGCTTTTACGCAAAAATTTGTGATGAAGATATGTTTTCGTGTTTATAGCAGCTTTCGCAAAAAAATCACGGATTTAACTGCCAAACTAATACTTTCCAAATTATTAATTACTATGTGGTATTTACCTGAAACCCGTGAATAATTTAATACGATAAAGTTTCCTCAAACCTGTGAATAACTTTACAAGGTAAATCCTTAAACTAGTTTCATCATTATTAACGATTATTATAATAACTATCATATAATAATATAGATAAGAACGATTAAAATCTTTAGTGTTTTCTGCAAATAGTTGCAGAATAATTAACAAACCTGTTTCATCGTGCGGGATTCTTCTTCGGTCTGTCCGTCTTCTCGATAAGTACGACGACCGTTCCGCATGCTCTGCCTTTGTGTCATGGGTATCGATTCCGTATCAGCATTGTTCGGGCTCAGCCTGCAACAAATCGGAAGAAATTATCAACTTACAATACCCAAAGCATCCGCTCTTATTTGCATTTTCAAACATGCGAGAATTGCAACTTGTACTCCTAATAATAGTCACGTAAATTACGAGAGGAATATATTACGATACTTGTATCGGAAAACAGGATCTCCTTGAAGAAATATCGTTGTCACGACCAACTATATTGATCTCGTTCATCAAACTTTTTAACGAGTACGCCAAACGACAATGGATCCCGAAAGATACTAGGTTGGAGTTCAAGATCGACAACGAGGTATCGTGCACAAGCTGCGATCAAAACTTTCGACAAACTTTGACGGTTCTTCTCGAGAGTTGCGATTTCGTAAAATACCGAAACAATAAAGTTACCTACCGTTTAACCCGCGTCGCATTTACAACGGTGGAAACTTTCCCCGAACTTGTTCAACAAGTTAAACATTTTTTTGCGCAAAAATATTTCCCATTTTTATCGAAATCTGTTTCGCTTCGTTGTTTTTACCTTAACTTTCTCCAAGTACAATTTTAATCGTTCGAAAGTCATGTTTTGTTATCCGAAAATTGAACGCTTGAATCGACTAACAAGGATTACAATTCGAGAGTAACTCCATCGATAATGCTCTTGAGTTGAACAAGCTCGAAGATAATTTTAGAACACATTTATCCGATCGCGTAAAGAGCTTTAAAGATTACTTTAAGCCCTCTACGGCGCTTAAGAGTCGAAATACAAGACTCTGTACTTCACTTAACACATTCGAAACGACCATGTACGCGTCTGAAAAATTTATGACGTCCAGAGAAGACAATTTCTCAGCGACATGTTCCGCGCGAGATTTCTCCTCTTTCTTAGTATATGTGCAAAATATATTCGAATGGAACAATGCATCAATGTAATTACTCAAATTTTTTTTCCGAACATTCAGATATCCTAGAAATTGTAAACGTTGCATATTTTCGATCGACGTTTACAAGGAATTGTCACGAAACGCGATCGCAATTCTAGTCACGTCGAATCGATACACGAAATACACGATAAAAATTATTTGGGAGATTGTAGACATATGTTTGCAGTTCCATAACAAACTCGAGACACGGTCTAACAGGTTTCGCTTTATATTCTGTTTTCGATTGTTACTCATTTTTCGTACAATAGTTCAAACATGTTTGCCGGATTTAATGAAACTTTAAAACGGTACTGAATAGCAGCCAGAAATGTTTGATTTCACGTTTTTTATTTGCTTCCTCGTGTTTCGCATGAAAAAGAATTTCACGTGTTCCATTTAATTTCTCAGTGAAACTGTTCTCCACCCCTTAGAAGGTGTCACGATATAGCGCGTGACCATATGTATAATGCATAACGATCTAATGACCCCCATCGGATCAAAATGAATTCTAGTTACGCCAATGGGTTATGATATGAGAATCGTAGAGACTTACGCGTGACGCGACGTCATGTGGTATCGCCGTTTCATGACTAGCCAAATTTCCCAACAAATAGCGGTGTAACAAAACGCCATAACCGTTAAAGGCAACACCAGAACTAACACGAGCATGTAAACTTCGTGTGCACGCCATAAAAGTCCTGCATCCGAATCCCGAACGCACCAGTAAGCGATCACCCTTAATCCAACCACTTTGTGTGTCTGTAAAAAGCAAAACACCGATATCAGCTGACATTGCGCTAATTAACACACCAGAACTTTTATTTAGATAATTAACGGAATTATCGACTAAAGCTGGTAAATGTACGAAAACTCGGTTCATGTAATTAACATAATTAATTAGCCGGGGGAGCTTAAATTTCGAAACACGTAATTTCAAAGTTTAATGCATTATCAATTACGAAAATAATAAATAGCTACAAAAGAACGAATGTAGGTACGAAAACGATTACGTGTAGCATGTTTTTCTCTCGCGAAAAACCTTGCGAATACTTCATGAAACAAGCTTTCAGGATTTCGCATAAAGAAGAACGTTATTACACGATTCGTATACATATATCCTTCACGAGGCCTGTTTATCGTTTCGTTCGCGCCATTTACTGTACGCGACACACGCGACCCGCGTTCCTACAGATTCCATTAATTTCCTCGTCCCTTTGTTCTTCCCTCGAATCTCCTTCTATTCCGAAAGAAAAAGGATCTCGTTTAAAACCGGCTCACGAATAGTTTCCACTTTGAACGAACGAATCCAGGTTGTAAGTTGACTTGTATACAAAGCTGGATGCAATTAATTAACAAAAGTAACGAAGGAACGGAACGGGCAACAGATATTCGCGGAGCAAAGCGTTTACGAAGCTTGAGAAAGTCATTCGGCGAATTATCTCGAGTTAGTCTTTGCCGCAATCCAGCAAAACCGGCTAAAAAAGGATCCTTTTCCTTCGCGAACCGATTTAGTACGTCGTTTCACTCGATTTTCCAGTTCCTGCTTGCTTCATCCCCTGACGAAAGTGCCTTCTTAACGCTCTGATAACCAAACGTTTCTCGATGCGATACATCGACCAAACACGCTCCCATTTTACACGTTATACACTTCCCTTCACATTTCGTATATTCGAACAAACCACCAATTTCTCCAAATGGAGTATCGGAAATTGAAATTGCAAGAAAACGGAACTATCTGCGGCCGCTGACTTCGCGACAAACCACACGGAAACTCGACCAACGGAAGACTTGACAACCGGATAACCGATCGTTTAATTTGTAAGCAGATTAAACTTTAGAACCATCCCGATGGGGCTTCGTCTCTAACATCGCGATAGTCCATGTGTCCGATACTCGTCGATGTTCCTAATTAATTCATGCTTCTAATTACGTACTGTATAGGATACGAGTGGATATTTACCTGAGTGAAAATCATTGGAATACCAAGAAGGAACGATGCCACCCAAGTTATAATCACTATTTTACGGGCTTGGCTTATAGTGCAGGTGTATTGTGCCCTCATTGGATGAACAATGGCGTAATACCTGAAACACACGAATAGAACTTTCAATTAGTTCCCTTCGGAACGACAACTCTGCAATTCAACTTATATTAATTAGTTTACGCATTTTCTATGAATAGACGCAAGGATGATCGAATGAATGTACGAAGAACGAAGTTCATGGAAATATATCGGGATAAACTTTTGACATTATGTAGCAGTGCAAAGGTAAAAAAGGTGAAAGATATAAACGGGAATAAACAATGAACCTGAATAACGACGCATAGAATCTCCATGAACCATTCCTTTCACAGGCACCGCTATTTTTGCTGCTCTTTCCTGTTTTCCTCTCGTTTCAGACCTTTATCAATTAAAGGTAAAAAAGACAGGCAGATGTAACGATTATCCGGATCTCTTTCGATTAAAAGGGACTATGAATACAAAATAGCTGGAGTTTTCTGCGCCGACTGTCAATCAGCTCACCCTCCTCCACATCGAATACGAACGAATTAAACGAGCATGGCTGTAAAGTTACCGTTTAACCGTGATTGACAAGATCACGCTGTCAAGAATAAATTCTATTTAGTCCGATAAATGATTCAACCGACAGTTCTGACTTTTACGAACAGTATTCGATTTCAATCATTTGACTATTTGTAATACTACACAATAATCTCCAGATTGCGGTTGATAAATATATGTATGCTACACATATACGTTTAGCACAACTTCGAGATCAAAACGAAGACAAAATTATCAAAGAAATTACCGTTCACGCTCACTGTTCTCGTAAAAGCAGGAAGTATGATCAGTTTCGCAAAATTTATTCGTTTCATTTCACTGCAAACGACCCATAAAGGGAAACAATAAGAAGCTGAGTCTAGAGAGCAATCGATTTAGCGGCTGGAAGAGAGGCTCGCTGATAGGGAGGCTCAATTTCCCCGAAATCAAATAAATTTTCAAGGTGACCACGCGATGGCAAATGGGAGAGAAGACGTTAAATCACGTATCCTGGCCATTTTGGGGGGCCTATTTCGGTTCTTTATTGAAACGAAACGTGAGCAGCGAACTAAACCGAAGGTTCCACGAAAAATCACAAACTACAAATATTACGTGATCAGAAGATACGAAGCGTTTTAATCGCGACAAGTCGTGTTAACCGATTTCTTCGATGCGACAGAAAATGGGAACAGAAATAAAACACCTGGCGATCTTGGCTCGCTCGGAATTTGATCTGAAATGGAAAAGACAATTCCTGGATCTCTCCCTGTACTAACTGCCCTCGAAACGCGCTAAAGTAAAGAAGGGAACGAATTCGCAGAAACTACGCCAACGAACGTAAACTTTTAGATGGATCCGAATCGCTCGAGCACCGAATTCCTCTTCGCGTGAAATTGAAAGAGAACGTTCTCGATAATGAGCAGAGTCTCCAAATGAATTTTACGCCGATTCATCAGAATTTCTACCATCGATTGTCGCCTTGAATCACTGCGACTAATGGCTAGAAATATAAGATTTAAATTTATTCTCCGAATTTTCATGTTGCGTCTCGATACAAATTATCAAAAGTTCTGCCTAATGATCACGGAATGTATAATTCTGTGGGTTAAAGGAAACCCATTAATCTTGCAGGGGAATATTAAGAAGAACCTACGGTACTTTGTGATAGAACGACCTTTCCAACTATACGGACAGAAAGTGTCGACAATGAAAAATGCAGCTATAAATAAGACGGTCTTTAGACAACTCGTTCGAGCACGTTAATTAAGTGAAACTGTACTTCATGAATGTGCAACGACATTCTCGAATCGTTGCGTTAAACGATCTTACGTCTTCTATTCTTTGGACCGTTTCCCTTAATAACGTTAGAGATGACTTCCTTGCGAATAATTTTATGCTCTTCGTTTTATTTTAAAAAGGGAAATATGTTTCTTTATAGAGCGCAACTTTCGCGATTCAATTTCTTCGATGGGTTTAATCGATAGGAGAACTTTTGTAATAAATTCTGCATTCTTAAGGTTGTTGAAGAAAATTGACAAATATTCCTTTTCGTTTATCAATCTAAGGAATTAAGGTCGTTTATTAAAATAGAAACGTCGACTTAATAGGGACAAGAAATGTGAATTATAATTTTTTCTTTTTGACATGATTTTGCACGAATTGCAGATAGAAAGCTACGATATAAGGTTAAGTAATGGGCGATCTAAAGGAGGTAATAACGTTAGATTTACCTTTCGATCGACATTGCGGTTAACGTGACGACCGAGCAAATAGCCGATACGCTCTGCATATAATGCACCGACTTGCATAGGAACAGGCCCATAGTCCACGTGTAAGAGAACAGCTTGGCGATCTGCAACAAACCATTAACTATCTCGTTAGATTAAATCGTGCTAATATCGTTTAGAAGATCGTAAACCTCTCCGTTCGATATCTGACGAGAAACGTCCGATCGACACGTCCTGAAATTAACGCAAGTTCTGTGCAATAAAATTTTGCAATGCTTCATATCGAAGAAGTGACGGAAAGTAATTTTATGTAGCATTGAAGAGAGAACAAAGCTTGAAACAATAACGCAACAACGATAAGATAATTATTCCATCATTCACGGCTCTTTCCTTGACCTTTATCACTATTCTCCCATTAGTTCCAAGTCACTCGAAACACGGCAACAGCGTCGAGAAAAGTAACGAAACAATACCAGCAAGAACAAAAAATCACACCGAACAATGGAATGTGTATAGAAATGAAAGAAAGAGACCGTGAAATGAAGGAAGTACGGAAAAACGTTTCTCGGAGCTTTAGAGGTGGATAAAAAGGTCGACGTTCTCTCGCAGCAACGTGTTTAATCAACCTCTCTCAAGAGAGAGACGAAGAAGATGAATACGTTATCGAGGTATGCTTTTTGAAGCTGTTAATGAGCAGAAAACGCGTTTGGTCAAAGAATCTCTGTGTTTCGAGTTGAAACGTGTCACTGACCATTCTGAACCTGCTTCCCCTTGTAACGACCTACCGTTAAAACGAGAAATCCGAATGAAAATTATCCGTCTTCAAAAGCGTTTCAAAAGTTTATCTTTATCGCTTTTTATAAATTAACCGAGTTCAAGTTACATTCGCAACTTAAGCGATATCGGGTAATATTGCGGCAAAAGGAGAACTACTTTTCTGACGATGTCAATTTAGCAGACTGGTTCGCGTTTTACATCATTTGCTCGTACATTTCGGAGCATCTGTCACTTCAGAATATTAAATCCGCTCAACATTTTACTTGAGAAGGTATCAGGGCGAAATAATGGAGCATAAAATTGTGAAGTACACGTTGTACCTAATTGCATAGATCATTAGGTTTACCAACTAATGCGTTCTTGATCCGGTCGTTCGAAGAAAAAAGTTTGCAGGAGAGAAAAGCGAGAATAAATTATTACTTGCAAGTATCGGATTCGTGTAAAGCTCCTAATTCGGTCGAACGGAAGTACAACGGGAGCTATAAGCGTTGGCAAGCTAAGGAATCGCAAGAACAGCCTGTTCTCAATTGCTCCAGTTAAGGTTAATGTCAGACGCAACGTGATCCAGTAAAGAACGCGTTACATGCTGAACCGAGCAATTCGCAGCTTGGAAATTTGTTGGCTGAAAGAAACGGGAACGGGAGTTCGTATTCGGAGGAAACTTAAGCGTCGAATCGATCGGATGTGGTCGAACGTGATCGTCCTTCGACGGCAAGCTGTCGGAAAAAGTCGTTATGTCAGCGGGAAAACCTTCCATCGCGGTCAGGGAGAATATCTTAAGTCGTCGGTAAAGAATGAAGTACAAAACGGAAAGCGAGGATTCAATGAAAGCAATCAACTTCGGCAAATAGGGAGGTATTTTCGGTGTCGAATGCGGCTCTGATGAAGCGTGCCGCCGTCGCTCAAACGCGACGGAGGTGTATTTTCGAATCGTTTTATTACCCGGGAGAACTGGGAAATTGCAGTCGAACATTATTGGGCCAACATCGAAAGAATAATCTCCTGAAATTGGAGAATTGTCCGAAAATTACTTGCGCGATTCTTTTATTTTAAATACTTTGTTAACGTACAAAATACTGGCACGCGTTGTTTGCAGCGCTGCATGGATTATCGATATACATAATTTACAAACGAACTGTCGCGTAACAAAGCGTTCATAAATGCTTTATTGGAAAGTTATAACGAAAATCTGAAACGTAGAATAAATCAATGTAGCTGTGTTTGCGTTTCGAAGCATCCTTCACTTTTATCTGATATTGAAATTGCTGTAGTTCGAATTTTATTACTATTTTCTTTCGTTTCACATTTTATTTCTGGCACACCTTGCAACATTTATAGGAAAAGTTATGGAACACCCTACGTCTTGTATCGTTATAGGGTAAATTTATCGGCAACCTGTAAAAGATCAAAGCGCAGTCGCCGTAAAATTTCGATTCGATAAATTAAATAGCCAGTTCATTTTCGATTCTGAGAACGCGAGCTATCACGGTTCTAGTAATTTGAATTGAATCGAATTATCCGGAAATCGTGTCTTACTCAACATTCTGGTACGCTAGATCGTACGCGAACACCTACAAGACGTTTTAATCAGATCGCAATTTACAAGAGAACGTAAGCACGAGGTGCGTGCGTTCGAACCGTCGTACAAACGGTTTCAAACATGCGGAAATAATCTCGTTACGCGTCACACTTGCTATTAGAACGTTCTCGAGTCGCTTTCTCAATAATTAGACGCTTGTTTTGCAGTCTCGGATGCTTTAAATTCGACGTAAGATATCCTGTGATTCGCGGAACAAGACGACTCCATGTAACGCAGTTATTTTCTGACTTCTTATAAATTATAAACTTCTTGGTAACCCGTTGCAAAAACTGGAGACCTCGCGTAGGATACAACGAGACGGTTATTGGATAAATAGCGTCGAAAGCGTTTCTACGTCTCGTGCGCGAGGACTCTAATTGAAATTAATACGATTAAGGGTAAAGTTTAGTCGATTACGGTAATTGTACAGGGACTAGCCGGAATGTAATACGATTACTCGAGAAAATTGTTGGAGGATGATCGTATCTAGCAAAGATTAAGTTCAAGTTTCGATCCGAGAAAGGAACTTTAATGGATCCGCTTTAATCATGACACTGGCCCGTATTTGACGGGAAAGCGGGTTAATTATGATCGAACCAGGGTCAAGATCGATCCAACTTTCAGACAAGTTGTCGCGAAATATAATTCCTCTGCCAGGATAAACTTCTTTACGAATGTTCCACTAATCGTTCCATATTTTCTATTCTAAACGATCGTCGAATTTCCTGGTATAATTCGTTCAATAAATAACTGGCCTTTGCTCAAAACATTTAAAAGCTTCGGCCAATGTCCCATCTAATTTTAGTATGCCTAGTATCGTAATTATTTTTAGAACGACAGAAAGGAAGTTGTTCTAGGCCGAGAGATTTCGCGGTGATTTTAAAATAAAAAACATGTTTCAGCTCTGACAGAGAGAGGTGGTATATCCGAAAACTCGTGATCTTCTCCGATCGATACTTCAGGTCAAAGGTTGGACGCTTAGGGTGACAAAATGTTAAGGAAAGGGATTTGGCTACTTTAGGATACCGTTTCCGGAGTAATCTAAATCGAAGCTTCTTTAGGCCGAAATTACCAATTCAAATTTTCGAATAAAACTTACCGAATAGCCCAATACCGACTGTCGACCGTGAAACGAAACAAATTAACAGTTACCAGAACGTTCAATTTGGTTCAAAGCATCGGAAATTAATAACCTATACTACTGTACATATAATCGAAACCTGTGTGCCAATGTAAATCCTTGCGTCCCTACTAATCAAAGACATAGCACAACGAAGTAATTATTCGCTAGTTGTTAATTGAATTCCTTTCACTGTCAATTTCATCTACGATAAGAATAAGAATTAATTGCAACATAGAATCCTATATCGAACAACTACGATCATTCCGGGAATAGCTGCAGCGATTGACATTCAATTTCAGTTGTCACTTTGTCTGCTCTGGCAGTAGTCGAGAAACAGATAACCTTTGTTAATTAGAAATGCACGTGGCATGCGATTCGCGCGGCAAATATAATGTAACGTGACCCACCGCTGCTCGGTTAATTAGTAGCGGTATAACTGCACGGTTATCGTTGACGATAATCAAGCTGTTGCGATTAGACACGAGAGTTTTCTAATGTAAGTTTTAATTAAGTTAACTCGTCGTTTATCGTCGCTGTATCATTAATCCGGCTTGCGTCATTGGAACTCGAAAACAACCGATCTGTATGATCGTTGTCCGCAGTGAAATTCTGTACACGTAGACGAGTAGAACAGATCGTTCGCTCTAACGAACTTTCGTTAAAGCTGAAGAATCGTCTAACAACGCCGCCGCAGGTGCAAGTGAATAAATGTAGGTAAAGTGAACCATCGATCAATCGAAGCGATCTTGCCTACGAGTAATTCAACGGATTCGAGATTCTCGTCACGAAATAAAAACCGTTTCTATTGCTCGCCACATCATAAGAGACTTATCGATTCGACCTTACGAAACGAAATAAACGGGATCCTGTACCATCGTTTTTTAAAGCAGGCGAAGATAAAAGTTATCGCTTGAAAGGAGCGTTCTCCGAAGGACTTAAAAATTTCTTTATGGCCGCGAAATTTTACAGACTCTGCTGATAACCGAAGCTGTCGATAACCGATGTTATATGATACAACAAACAATCGTACGTGAAAGGTCATTCTGTCGGAGGATTCACAAATCTTTCAACGTGAACCGCATCCTATATGTTAGGAGATTCTTTCTACCTGTTTTCTGTCGTGATCAATTTATCCGGCAAAAACATTAACGAAATATGTAATTAGAGAACACGCGAAACGCTGACCACCGACAATATTATCCCTCATTAAATTCCCTGTATCGGATTAATTAATGGTAAAACGAAAATTTTATTGCGCTTCGTACCGAATAATTAAATTACCGATCACGTTGGCAGACTCAATCGCGATTCCGCCCATTAATAATTACATCAACGGTATAACCCACGAGTAACGACTGTTTCGTTCTCTTTTCTCGCAAACAGTCATTAACATCGTGCAATATTCAGGAGATAATAGCAGAGCGAAGTGATAAGTAGACAATACCCGCTATTCTTGATTTAATGACGTCCTCTGCTCCGGACGTGGAGCATACTTCGCTCGCAAAATATTGTTACTTGTCTTCTCCACTATTTACAATAAATCCTCGTCTTTTGTACTTAAGATCAAATATAACATAATCACTACATCGCACAGAAAAATTCATTCGTGCGATAATTCGATGTTATACAAATTTGATAAACTAATG